AATTGGATTAAATGTATTTCGTTGGGCAATCCGATATGCATAAAACTGAAGCATAGATACATTTCTTCCTCGATGACGTGGAATTCCTGGATACTATCTCTTGTCACCAGCTGGAAATAGAAGCGGATAAGACATAGGATCACAATTAGCATTAATAACTGGAATAATCTGTAAGCTTGATGCATGGGGACGAATAACCAGTTGATGTGGAAGAAATTGTTCATCATTAAATCCAACAACAACGGCAGCAACTTCATTAGCTTGAGGTGTATTATATCGTCGTTGATCTAATTGTCGGTTATTATCAAAGATCATTTCTACATCCATTGGTTATCTCCCTTCCAATTGAGCAGATTTATTCTTTTCGTTTGAAACTTCTCGCATAAGCTTATATGCTTGGGCATATGGACTTATATTTAGAATAACCTGTTCAAGAAAATCAAGCAACTCACGGTTGAGACAAATGTTTGTAGGATGATGCGCCCTTTGTTCCCTTGCCTCAGCTGTATCAAGAAAGTAAAGCTGACCAAAGCTAGGCTTCTCATTAGAAGCGGGCTTTACAGGACCAACAAAATGATATATCTGACTGGAGATGCGATAAATATAAGGTCCTTGATCAGTTTGATTATCAATATTAGAAAGAATCGAAGCAAATGCCATAGCCGCATTGTAATTTCGAATGAGTTTGAAAAACTTTGATGATAGTGGATGACTTTTCTCAAATAATGCTTTTAATTCGTCTAGAAATGGTCAAGATTTTTCAAGAACAACTGCACCCTTCTGGCAACACAAAGAAAAAATATTTGATTCTCAACCTGTACGTTCACCTGCGAAATGGAGAGCGCCACATGCATCACAAATGACATCCATTTTTCCAACATTAATTTCATCCGGAAATGAGTTAGTAAATGATAATGCCTCTTGATAAGTTGAGGTTAGTTGGGTCATCTGAAGATATCTTGATTGTCAATTTCGATTAGTATTAGTAACTCTTTCTAATATTGCTTCCTCAGGAGTTTGTGTTTGACGTCTTGCACATTGTCGCTCAGCTTCTACTGATCGTCAATTTTGAGTATCATCTTCAGTTTCTTGCTGTCTATAATTTCTGGCTCAGGTGGCATTGATAGTATGTATTCTAGCTACTTTAGCAGCTCTTTTTTGAAACATTTCTTGATTATCAGCTCTTGCTTCTTGTCTTGATCGTCAGTGTCGCAAGGTATCTGCAGATCGTCTAGTAGCAGTTTGTTTTTGAGTCTCTCTGCTACGTCGAATATGCATATATAATACACGGGATGATGTTTGGAATCTTTCATTTTGGGCATTTACTATATTATCAAGCTGGTATGAATCGATTAATATATGATACTTATTTTTATAATGAGCACGAACAATATATTAAAGCCTTTATATTCACACTACTTAGAGGAATCATGGTAACGATTTCGAAGAAGTCAGCAAGCAAATTGTAGTATTAAATCATGAAGGTAAATACTTTTGCATTTTTTAAATAAAATTTTTTATACTTTCTAAAATAAATTATTCTGTACAATATATAGAAGTAAATGGAATTGTGCAA